CTGGGAAATGGCATGGGTTTAGATTCCCAAGAGTTTCCGTGAGTTGCTACCTCTGCAGCTCATTTTAAGGGTATAACTCCAATTTTGCAAACTGTTCTCTTGCCTATTAGATGAATCACCTAATCTTCAGAAGGACGCATTCTTTGAGACTAAAATTAAAGAGGAAAAAAGATTATAATATTGCTTTCCATTGCAACTTCAATTTTACAACCCCATATTGTGCATAATATGATTTTAATATCTATGTGCCCAAGAGAAAAACTGGCAAATGCGATGGTCTTGGAGATCAAATAATGTTATACATAGACTTAAAAATACACATTTGGCATTATTTGGTACAGCCCTGAATTTATATTTACAGGAAACTATAAAATGCTCCTGGTGAATCACGCAGCCCCTGAAAATACCTAGTTTTTCTCAGAGGAGCAGAGAAGCTGTGCCCAGGGAGCTGGTGCAGCTTGCAAAGGCATTGGAGTTGGGATCCCAGCAGCTGTGAAAATCAGTCCCATTGCAGCCCACTCGCAGGACTACAAGACTAATCATCATTACCTACCCCAATTAAACCATGCCCTTACTCCACTAAACACCCACATTATGCCACATCCCTGGAAGCTTTCAAGGCCAGGTTGGATGGATCTTGGAGAATCCTCATCTAGTGGAAGGTGTTCCTGCCCGTGGCAGGGGTTGGAACTGGATGAGATTTAAGAGGTCACTTCCAACCCAAACCATTCCGGGATTCTGTGCTTATCTACCTGTTACAAACAAGGGAGAGAAACACTGAATGATGCAGAGAGAAATTCAGGTCCAGATTGATTATGGTGTGGGACACGACCACAGCAAAGCCAAAATGTTCAAGTGCTTGTCAGAAGAAAAGGCATCACACTTTATACATGATACTGAGATGCTCAAGGCCCTGAAACTCAGGTCTCTTTGAGGCAGAAGGAACAAACCAGTCTGATAAAAGACTGGGAGAAGGGATGGACAGAAGTGGCAGGAGAAATAATATACAGCAAGTGTGGAGGCCAACGACTGCACACTTTAACAGCTCCCAGTGGCTTCAAATCAATTTACATTTAAAACAAATGAATCAAATCTGATAATCTCTGGTACCACTCAACCTATTTGCTCCAGGGCACCGAAATTCAAATATTCTTGAGTTCTGGAAATAGGTTTTCACTCCTACGACATACAAATGAAGACAAAGAGTACCACCACCAAACACAATCTTTCCTGGTTTTCACACACTCAAATGACAAAATCACTTCCATGGTGTTCAGAGCATTTTGCTGCTGTGACTTTTGCCTCTTGCAGTCATTCTCCAGCATTTCTAAGCTAGTTATAATAAAACCCATTCTGGTTTTCATTCCAGAAACCCACATCCATCTAGATGAAACCAAGTGAATGGAACAAGGGGCACCAACCCCAACATCTTTCTTACACACAAGAGCCCCCTGTTGTGACACTGGATGAGTCTACACCAGAAACCAGATTATCACACTGATCCTGGCTAAAAATAATCCTTCTCGTTTAGCATGGAGTTCTTTTCAACTGAGACCTGATTTTCCTAACACAGGCATGGCAATGGAAAGCTGCCATCCGGCATGAGGGATGCAGGAGCCCGTACCACGCACATGGAGATGCACATATCTGCACCTATATACACATGTACCTCCGTAAGATCTCACTGGACTCTTTTTGAGGATGGGATTATCTTTCTTTTTCCAGAGTTTTAAATATCTACCTTGTACTTTTGTTTTCTACATCCATGCCCTTGCACCTAACAACAGCTTGTACCTTCGCACGTCAAAAGAAACATGTAATTAAATTAAGAGATGCGCACACTCTTCCTTTCCTCCCATCTCTTCCCCTTGAATGCCACGCCAGATAGCAACTCCAAATCTGCATTTAAATAGAATATTTTTAATGTATGAAAGTGGGCGGCCTGGGGGTAAAGAGGTATTGCATTCACTGCACAAAATTGCATTTAAAATGTGATACCAGGTTTTAAAAATTTATCAGATATTTTTTGTCATTTCAGTACCTTTGTTTTATTCTAACAAAATCTTCAGCTCCACTGAGATATTTGGATTAAAGCACGCTAATAAAAATGATGTGATATTACAGCGTTTTATCAATTTAATCTCGAGAAAAGGATGATATTCAATCACATCTCATAAGTCACTATCTCTGGTAATTCCGGCCATTATTCAGTGTGAAATTCAAGCAGTCTGAATTCATTAACATAGGCTTGCTCCAAATCTGCATTTTTCAGACTTTGTCAGAAAACACAGCAGCCCAAACTCAGTGACCTGAATCTAACAACCTTTCAGCCGAAACGGCCTCGCCCCCCATCCCCAGCTCCCTTCCTGTGCCAGGACAAAGCCGCGCTGCCGACGACCAGGTCACGACCGCAAAGCCAGAGCCAGCATGGGCTTTTTTGGCAAACATTCCCTACTGTGCTCCCGGTGCAGCATCCTGGTGATGGGAGGGCAATGTGGGTGCAGGATGCAGGGCTCCCCATGAAGTGAGGAGGTCTCCCCTCAGCAGCTGAGGAGCAAGAGAGAACGTGGTAGCACAGAGTGACATATGTTAGGGAAGAAGTGTCACATCGCATAGGACCGGCCATGGTGTGATGGAGACCAAGCAGCTTTGATGCTGTGTTATCAGGTCAACACCTTCAAGAAAAGGGTGTGTGTGTGGGGGAAGTAAAATAATGGTGGGGTTTGAAATAACTGCGAGGAGTGGCTGCTAAAACCATGGGAGGTTCATGGCCATGATGGAGACGCAATCCTACACTGCAGAATCCAACAGCAAAACCCTGTCAAAGGGCAAAATCCAGCCATAATTTAGCAAAGACTTCTGGCTTAATGATGTTCAGTATGTCCCTCTGCCACAGATCCCTGTACCCTTTTGCAGCTGGCAGATGTTCTTCATCCTTTGTTACCTGTATGGCCCTTTTGCTGGCCACCCTGCAGCTTTTCTGCCCAGCCAGGAGCATCCTCCCACCCCAACAGTCCCAGGCCCAGGACCATGAGATGTCCCAGGCAGGAACATGCTCTCTTCTGTGTATTTCTCATTGATCTTATCTATAAAACCATGATGAAATTAAGAATTTGTTTCTAATTAGAGCATATTTTGCTGACCAATGACCTAACTTTTGACTATAGAGGTGATGTAAAGAAATCTAATACCATAGTGCCTGTGCTTATCACTGCAGAAAGTGTAGAGTCACTGTACAGGAACGGCACCCCAGCTAACTGCAATGGCATTGCTCCTGGTCATCAGAGGAGATCTCATCCTATCACATTTCTCATTATATATAAAAATCACAGTGGCACTAACTCCATCACTCTGGTGGCATGGTGGGTGTAAGAAACCCAAGTAGTAATTGCACAGGAATTAGAATGCTGCGGGCTAAAGGCACCTTGAGCAGGCTGCAGATACATTGGCAGGCTCTACCCTACACTCACTAAAGCCTGTGGCATTAAAAAACCACTTTGGTTGGGTAAATTTATACTCGCTTCCCAACAAAAAAAAGATATTTCAGCATCACTGTATTGACTGTGGAGCTTCTGCTACTGAAAAAAGGCTGAAGGGAAATTAACTGCACCCCAACAAGTGCTTCTGTACCAGCATCAGTTTTCGGAGATTTGGCTTATTCTACCCAATTCTCACTCCAGACAAGACATCCTCGTCCATTTACTTGATCCTCTGGCAGATACCAGTGAAACATCCACCATCCACAACAACCACATGGTAATACCTGGATGTCAGAGTCCCCAGGACAGCAAAACAACTCCTAAAGAAGCAGCTTAAGTCCCTAGAGCAGTAAAACCCCATCAACATTCACCACCAAAGGACTCCTGTCTCCTTTTGTTAGCTATTATAGTGCATCTGTTGTTACACGGAGATGGATCTGCAGTAAAACTCCGAGCCTAGAAAGGTGAAAGCTATTACTTGAGATAGCAGACGAGGCTGTTGAAATTCCAGAATAAAATGGTAATGTGCTGCTGGTAGCGAGCAGTACATTGTTTTAACGTGTTGTGATATTTATAAATATATGAAGTTTAAATAATCAGATGACAGAGAGCTCCTTTTCATCTACTGAATGTTTATTATTCTTCACACATTAGCACTTTTTCCCCCAAATGTTATATCTTCTGCCATTTATAATTAATTTTAACAGCTTCTGCAACTTATCCCACAGGTTGTTGCTGTTTCTTTTAAACAGCGTGCTGCTGAGAAATTGATTTGTTTGCTCCGTATGCCTACAGAAATCACATTATGAAATATGCATAAATGTCATTTCTTGGGCTGCTTCTGAGGATTAGCTGGGGAGAAAAGCTTGCTGAGGAAAAGGGAGAGACAAACAACAACAAAGCTTAACTTAACACTTCGACACAGCCACATCCCTGGCCAAAAGCAGCTCCCTCGCTGCCCTGCTCCACTCCGGTCTGGTCCAGGGGTGGGAAGAGCCAGTGTGAGATCCCAGCGCCTCTTCTCCCCCAGTAAACAAGCCCCTGCCAATGCAGAGGGGAATTAACAAAACCCATTAACACACGAGGAAGCACCCGTGCACCCAGAAAGCTCTCTCACAGGCGGAAGCCAGGAGGAGCCCTGAGGTGAGCAGTGGTGGGGTTGCACATGCTCCATCACTGCCTCCAGAAGGTCTCTATATACCTCCATGCTGGGCAGCACCAAGCCCAGGGGAGGATGATTCCCAAAGAGCTGCATTTATCCATGATCACTCTGTGGGACTGGATCAAGGACCGTGGCTTGCTGCACAATGGTGGTGTGGGAGGGCAGAGGGAGAATCACCCTCCCTCTGGTCCCAGACCTCAGGAACCAGATCTCTGCAGTGCTACAAGGATAGCAGAGAGTCACCAACCACAGCAATCTCTCATCAGCATCAATGCATTCCCCCTCCCACTGCTCTCACTTCCAACAATATAGAACCTCAACTGATCCCACTTCATTTACTGTTTTAGAATCATCGAAACCTGGAATGGTTTGTGTTGGAAGGGACCTTAAAGCTCATCCAGTTCCAACCCCTGCCACAGGCAGGGACCCCTTCCACTGGAGCATCTTGCTCCAAGCCCCTGTGTCCAACCTGGCCTTGAACACTGCCAGGGATGGGGCAGCCACAGTTTCTCTGGGCACCCTGTGCCAGCACCTCAGCACTCTCACAGTGTTTTGACACCTCATTTTGATGGTGTCGTTTTGGTACATAAACGTTATCTATGATTTTTTTCCAATAGTCATCACTTCAGCCCCATGCACAGATCACTTATTTCATCAAAGCAGATTCTATCACCAGCCCTTTCCCATGCACAGCCAGTGAACAGGTCCTGCAGGTCTTTTCTTTCTACCCACAACTTAAAATCCCCATCATCCCCGGGGTTAGCACAGATCTCACAGACCTTATCTGAGATGGTCATGCTTGCAAGAAGAGGTTTATTACCAAGAAAAAAAAGCATCACATCCATGCAGTCCAATATACGCTGCCATCCTGGAACAATAAATCACAGCACTGTGCACAGCTTCATTAAAAACAAAGTTTTCCTTAAAGGCTGGACCCTGCTGTCTGCGATCAGAGCAGAAACATCCTCCCATCCTCTGTGCACGCTGTATGGGTGCGATGGCAGCCTGAGATGGAAGGCATCTTTCCCATGCTATCTCCTACTGCAAAACATATTGAATGACAAGTCCTGAAATGCAAACCAGATATTTTTCTCGGAGACTTCGTTAGACACATCACTCTCCCATATTATTACAGAGAGCTGTCAAAACAGCCTGCTAGGAAAGCTCTTCCACAGACACGCCGGAGTATAAATTGTCATAGTATAAAGTAAATTCCATTAACAGCTACATAGTCATTATTTTGCATAATAAAAGTAAAGGCTCTGTGCTTGTGATCTCTGTATTTACGACCACCGAACCAACAAGCACTTTCTCTTTTCTGACGCCTTTGTTAGAATTACAAGATAATTGGTTGCTGTTGCAGATATTAATGTCTGATAACAAAGTGCCTGAGGCAGGAGAGCTGAAGCGGTGGTGAAACAGCGCTACCGGCAAAGCTCTAACTCCTGTTGTCTGAGGATTAACCAGACCAACTCCAAGAATATGATTATTTTTAAACTGTATCACCACAGATGTTATTTGAAAGGAGCATGTTGGACATTCTGGGCAATACCTTTAAAAAACACATTTCTCTTTATTCTAGCCATCAAATAATAAATAAGTGAGATGATTCAACTGCCTTTCAGTATGAGATCCTGAGAGATATTAAAGGATCACTGACAAGTCCTAAGATAACGTGGGTAGCTGCTCCAGAAACAAATGTATCCCCATCCATAAGGTTTAAGGGACAAAAATAAAGAGTAATTCTAACATACTATGAGTTCCTCAATATTTAGTGCCAATGCACTGCTAAAAAGCCTGTGCTTATAGAGTACGTCCATTTTGGTTGGAAGCAGGAATGATGACACACGCAAATACTCTGCTCTCCCCGAGTTTACACACAGTTGTGTTTATGAATCAAATTGCAGCTTAAAGCCTCAGCCGTGATGAGCAATTCGGAAACTCGCTGTTCATAAGCATCATGCCAATTGAAGCAAGCTGGTTTGGGGATATTGTATATTATTTATTACAATTCAGTCTGTCACGGAATTAAGCACATTGAGCCAATTTCAATACGAGCACTGGGGGAAGGAGAGATTGCATCCAAATTAATAAAGTTGCTTTTAAAGCACAACAATGGCATCTGGTAGTATTTTCATACACTGAATCACTGATGGGACAAAACCAACCTGCAATTATGCACCCTCCACTTTCTCAGTCTCCTCCTTCCCCCTCATGAGAAACTCAGGGCATTTCTTGCATCTCCTATGGGAAGCCTGATGGCTCAAAAGCTCAATGGATGGCAAGTCCCCAAGATGCAAGCAAGAAACCAGACAGCAACATCTGTATCTGCCCTTACAAAGGATTCCTCACTATGGTCCTTTACTTTTACTTTTTAAATCACTCTCCTGTGATGGGCACGATGCCATTAATTTAATTCCAGCTTGCATTTCCTATTAGTATAATCTGCCGAGTTATCTCTATAGCAGCAGCAAAATCACTTTACAGTGAGCTGTATCCCTTCTGAGTTAATTACACGTATTTGGGGCTTGATAAATGAAAATAGGGGACATGATTAATTGAAGGACAATCAATAAGATCCAGCTATTAAACAGCTTGATGAGGTATCCAGAGGATGCATATAATCTATAGTAATCAGCTAATTGAAGACTGTGGACTAAAAAGATTTTAGGAAATCCCAGCTTCAAACTGAAAAATACCCCAATAAAATGGATTGGAGGAAAGATATTCCCAAACCCCAGGAAGGTTTAAGGCCTGTTTTGATTTTGGTTGGTTTTGAACAACAAATTTTGCATCACTGGCTTAAAAAAACACCACCTCCTGTGAGAAAACACTGAAACAAATTTGAAGTGAATCCTGAAATGTATTACTTATTTACATCCACCCAAACTCCTGGAATTGTATTTTCCTTATGATTTCCAGAGCTGCCAAAGGTTGTTAAATAGTTTCATTAAGACACTCTATTCGTCTTGTTTTAGTCGCATTACCAGATCAAATTAAACAGCCGAATAGTTGAACAAATGAACCTTTTCCATCTCTTTTGACATGAAAACAAGTGTGCAAAAAAGCCATACACCAGTGATGGTTAGGTTTGTGTTTCCAAAGAAGGGCACAAGAAGGGAGAAAATAATCAATAGGAGCAAAGCTGGAGTATTCCACATTTAGAAAAATATGGACATGGCAAGTGCAGTCCGTAAGCCCGTGGTCTGTAAGTACTATTAGCATAAATGCTGACAACTGTTAATCTACTGTAACCCTGATTAATGGTTGCAGTTGTCCATTAATACCAGGCATTTTAACTTACTACTAAAATTGATTAGTCAGTTAAGAATTCAATCCTAATGTTCAATAAAACTGCACTTTCTCTGCAAATGCAATATGAAATGAGGTGATGCATTTAGCAGCACTCATGTACATTAAGAGGGTGCAGAGTGAAGGAGGGATGCCCAGTGCCATTCCTGGCTGGCACAGGCAGTACATTCATCTTCATCCTCCCTGCAGCCCTCCTGAACTGGCAAGAGAGATGGAGATACCCTACGGAGTTCTTCGATGAGGGTCCCAAGGCACTGACGCAGGGTGCCCAGAGAAGCTGTGGCTGCCCCATCCCTGGCAGTGCTCAAGGCCAGGTTGGACACAGGGGCTTGGAGCAAGCTGCTCCAGTGGAAGGGGTCCCTGTCCATGGCAGGGGTTGGAGCTGGATGAGCTTTAAGGTCCCTTCCAACCCAAAATATTCCAGGATTCTATGATTCTAGGAGTTTTGAGGGGCTGGGAAAACTCACCCAGGCAGGGATGGAAGGAGCATCATGTTGGGCTGTGCACAGTGGGAGGGATGGACCCCCTGGGTGGGTGCCCCAGACTGAGGGCTCCGCTGTCAACGGATAGGTCTGACATAGTCTTACCAGCTACTCCTCTTCCTCCTCAATGACAACATGCACTTTTTTCCCTTTTCCAATCCTTAATTTCCATTATCATAATTAACATTATTATTAGCATCATCACTATTATTATTAACATCATTATTATTATTATTTTCCAACCTTGCTTCCTTTTGCAGTACCAGCCACAGTCCAGCAAGTACAGGAGGGACCAGGCACACACCAAGGGGGAAATGCCAGTTCTCCACCGCTCTTTTTCTCCCTACAACGTAATGTGAGGGTGCAGTATTCCACAGGACTCTATAGAGGCCCTGTGCAGTCTGCAACACCACCACTACAGGTCTCTCCCAGGTCCTTCTGCAAGCCTTCCTTTCTGATGCAGAAGAGATGAGCACCCACTGCCAAACCCATCATTTTTCATGAGATAAATACCTTTTAAAACTGCCTTCAAATTAATCTTAGGATTATTTTAAAGTAGCTATTTTCTGAACACATAAAGCCAGGTGAGTAATTTTGAGGAATTCTTTGCCAAGGGTCAGGTGTTTTGAACTGAAAGCATCACACTCCCTTTCCTAGAGTACCAGGTAACCCTAAAAATGACAGCTATAAAAGAATCAAGCAACAGAAAGAGAATGCTTTAGCACTGGCAGCAGCAGCTCACACCTCCTGATCCAGAGGTCCCAATCCAGTCTTTGCCCACAGTTATGGAGCTGTTTTACCAGAAAGGTTCTCTAAATACATCCTCCTCCAGCAACCTGTACAACCAGCAGTCCCAAGAGACAGCAATGGTACTCTGGAGACCCTGGGGAGGGCAGAAGCTGAGCCTGGGGTAAGATGCTCACAGATGCTGTTGTCAGTAATATTTCTTAAGAGCTGTTGAAAGCAGACTGACCACACCATTGAGCTGACTGCACCATGGTCCTGTTCCAGCAAGGTTCAGCCAAAGTCTTCCAAAGTTAACTGTAGGAGGTGGGAATGGTGTCAAGACTGCATTTAGGTGAATTACGATTTCTGTCCCTGTGTCACCAGTGCCACGTGGGCTCCCATTAACAGTAGGACTTAGACTGCCATCATCTCGACTGAGTCCCACCATGCAGGATGCAGCCCAGCTCTCCCATGGACTCATCACCCACTGGCCTGCCAGGATGCTCAGGCTTTTGCAGCTTCCACATAGGCCCCTATATGAGAGCCCAGAGCTTTTCACCCCCTGCTGTATCCTCCTGTATCAGACACTCATCCCAGTGACAGGAGTGCCAGCAGCTGCAGAGAGGGTCCAGTGACCAGACACACCACTCACTGCCCATGTTATATTAAATATTTCAAAGGGACAGTCAATCCCATTAACATAATGCTGGGGAAGGGAAAGAAAACCCCCAAAAGATACCAGGAGAAAGAGGAAACTCCAGCACAACACAGTATGTAGAAACCATCAAGGACTTGGGTATAAATCCACAGGTGATTCATAAGGACAAGCCAGGACGCTGTACAAATTTGTTTGTTATTTCCCTGACCAGCAGCCTGGGAAATAGCACTTCTGCAGTGGCAACACCCAGGGACATGATGTGATTTTCAGTATGACCTGCAGGGCTGCAA